CTTTCTCTCTCTCTCCTTACTAAATGGTGAATGAACATCATCTTGTCTTTGGGTTATGTCTCTATTTACACAAAGATTCTAAGAACTATTTTTATTCATATCTCTTTCCTTCCATTCAGTCTCCTGTCTTTATCTTACATTCCGTCCGACACCCTGGTGCTACCTCACATTAACAGCACAGATGGAAATCCTGTTACCTCTAAACTCTCCCTCTCTTGCCCAGTTTCCATGCTATCAAAGACTGAAATTACTATCATTAATCTTTTTTCCCTGATAAATGCTGATGCTAAGGACCATTATATCTCTTGGAAATTATTTATACAACACAATTCGTTACCCATTTCCATATAAATGCACTTAACTGCCGTTGTGACTTTAAAACATTACCATATCTTAAAAATCAGCCGCGTAAATCTCGAAAAACAAAATGCAACCTTATAATCATCCAACTTTTAAAGAGGTTTTCGTAGCTTTTCTATTTTCCCTTCTCTCTCTATACACTTGTTTTCCGTACCCAGTATGTTAAGCACCACGCCAGTTAACTGATGAGGAGTCTGAATTTCACACGAGGACCTCGGTTAACTCTCGGAATTTCAACTCAGTCCTCTCTGTTCTTTGCTCCACAAGCCAGAGTCGGGAATACTAATTAGATGTTGCTCCCTTTCCACTACTAGGCCGTAATTACTCTGCACCCAGCAATGCCAAACAATGATGGTTCTTCCTGTCGGGCGGTTTCATTCCTTCTCCGGCCTGGCAGGCCTGGCAGTGGAGCGACTTTCATGAAAGTCCCGGAGCACAGGGGAACCAGAAAGGGGTCGGGTCCCAAGAGCAGGGAGCGGCCCGCGAGTGGAAGGGGGGAGGGAGGCGGGGGTGCCGCTCTGGTCCCTTCTCGCGAACTGCTGACAAACGGGCAGTTTGTCTCTCAGGAATGGAGGAAGGAGGGTGTGTTTTGAGCGTGAGGAGTAGTTGTTTTTTTAAAGGCAATGAAAACTACGGTTGTCACCCCCTCCTCTGTCCTCACACGATTACGCAGGCGCAGGGAGGGGCGGGGCAGGGACACCGGGCCCTGTCGCGGCGGGGACATCACCG